GGTCCGTACTGTCAAGACCTCGGGCCGATATTCTCCCAGTACGGCCCTCGCGCTTGGTTAATAAGATATATGTATCAAACTGTAACAATCAGAGAGCTGGGAAGCTCAAAATACCTTAAAATATGCATATCTACACGATTCACCATCTTTAAAGTATTTTATTTGACCAATACATGACTTTTAGGGGTATTCCATGTAGGTACTCCATTAGGGTACTCCATGGAGTACTGAGGGCTCCGCGATCTGCCATCATCCTAAAATAGTTACTCTAGGAGACATGTTGGACCTTTTTCAAACATACTTCAAGGTACCCTATATTTGCAGATTGCTGAAAGCTGGGTAGAATAATTATTCTATTTATAAAAGGCTCTAGCACGAGCGAAGAAAGAATTCTGACACCATGATGTTTTAAAGGTAATGTAAGTTCTAGAAAAAGGTTATCTCAATTAGAAGAAATCGAAAATCACAACCATTTCTCCAGTTTGCTTTGCATAAGCCACAAGAGCGCTTTGAAGTTGCCCTTATTTACAACTTTCGTGATTAGATAGAGGCCATCTTGGATATGACGTCAGTTATGATTTAGCAATAGTCAAACTTTGTTCGACGCTTTGGCCTTGTTGACATGTTTGACCTTTGTGAGAACAATTTTTAATAGTTGAACTATGGTGGACTGTCACGCTTGGAAATTATGGCTCGAAAATGGGCCAACTTTCGTTTTGGCCGCGGGAGATTTGAGGTCTAGTTATGCAAAATTTAAGATGGCGGACCAATGTGATGCCACCGAAGGCGAATAAGTTGTTTCGATAAAAAATGCACTGAGGCGCGAGAAATCAAAATTCAAGCAGCGAATTTCAAACGCACATAAACTAAAGGATTTCGAAAATACATTTCATGAACTAAATCAGTGAGCTGAAGCGGTTGTCAAAGCGAAGTTTGGAAGTCTTCATGAGAGACCCAAATACAGCATCGGCAAGCTATATCCCATGCTACAACGAAGCATGATTCGCGCAAAGACTGCAACAAATCGCCGTCTAAGTCTGCGGTCTTTCCCTACACTTAGGTAGCACGGAAAGCCGTACAACTCTTGAACAAAAG